TGATGGACTGTACCTGATTTTGTTGGGAATTCTCTGGGAACTCTGGGAAATACCGCTTGCACGCTGCCTTGAGGGTGCTTGAACCTCTCATTCCAACTACGCAAACAGGCGGAGCCTGAACCTGAACCTCTGAAATATAAAATTGGGATTTATTAAACTGACTCGTGATTATGTATTGTGCCTACATACTTTGTACAAATTCAGTATTGGTGAAAGAAAAAAACCAAAAATGCACACTTCTTGTGATAATTTTTAAAGGTTTTTCTTAATAAAAGAATGTGAGATGCAAATAGTAAGAAATCTTTCTATATGTAAATATCCTTGCCCTCAGTCTAAAGCCTTGATTTGAAAAAAAAAGAAAAAAGCTGGAAGCCCCTTARAGGCCAAATTGTTGTATAATAGTGGTAATAAAAGCCCCAGAGTGTGACATACCAGAAAAGTTTCTTTGTAGTGAAAAAGCTAATTTATCTAATTAAGACAAATAAAGAGGACAATGGCCTGAGAGAGCAAAAGGGAGAGAAAGTCAGATCAGCTGCCAGGACAAGGAAGTGCTCGTGGCCATAKGGAAAGAAAGACACGTTCAGGTGTCTTGAGGAACCTGGTCGTGTCCAACCAGTGGTTTATAGTATGATTTGCTTGAGAGGATAGAAGAAATGAGAATAAAAGAGATGCTTCAAACAAYGGGGAGACTGTAAAGCAGAAATGCTTAAATCCACTCTTCAGTTAACAGAAAATAAAGCCTAAATGCCACCACCCAGCTGCGGGAGACTGCAGAGCACCCTGCAAGCCCAGACCGTTCTCAAGGGGGCACCTTGTGCACCTGTGCCCTTCCACATGCCCTTTGGCAACACTCAGTTAACAAGCCACCTATTTTTGGAGGTTGTAGGTGCAGAACCTGTGTGCTGAAGCTCGACAGGATGGAAGGGCGAGCGGTTCACCAGTGAGATCCATTTCTGGGAGSAGGGCAGCGGATGCCAGGGCGCACGCTGAAGCGCGTGGGCTCCGAGAGCCTCTTGCGTACCGCGAAACCTCCTCCTGTGCATGGAAAGGGTGACTTCCGAATGCAGTTTTGTCCCTGTTAGAAACAGGGCAGGTGGCGGCGGTATTTAGACGCGATACAGGGTGCCGCGGGTTGGAAAGCCCAGGAGGTGGCTGAGKGCAGCAGGGCTAGTGGCGCCTGCTGGCCACCTCTCCCTGCAGGGGCCCCACAAACATCGGCTCCGCATGCTTAAATTATGGTTTCTGATGGCTTTAAATACTCCAAAAGACCTATCAKTGGGTGTTTTCTCCTTTGCTTTTAATGTTTTATTATTATCTCTCAACATCACCATTATCAAAGTGTTCAGGGATGGAGAGGATTGTTCACAGACACTTCTTCCCTCTTTTTTTATGGCAGTTTTGGAAACAGAAAAATTAATAATACAAGTAAGCTGGTAGTGCTGATAGCCTGTCCTATCAGCTCAAGTGTGTTTAGCAGTTGAGCAAATGTAGCTCTGCATGTAGGAACTTTAAGATTTAATCTCACTGCCTCTGTGAGCATCAATATATTCTAGTTACAGGGCAATTAAATGATYGTTATGAAGCACTTCTGGAAATAATGGCCAAATATCTTTAAAAACCATGGATGATTTGTGTGTGTGAATTGCTGCCAACATACTAGCAATGCATTTTAATAATTTACATAGATGGAGAGCCATGACTGTAAGTCTGAGATATGGTAAATTGTAGAGAGGATTGAGAAATGCAAAACATGCCCCATGTATGGGCTTGTGTTTTGAAAGCAGAAGTTTCATGATTTAGTACAGGTTACTCGATGCTGCAYGGCTCCAGCTCCTGAGAGCTCTGCGGTGGGCCTGGCCGCCGGCCCTCACAGAAGCCACCGTGGGGACTGACCTTTTGAAACCTTCTTCTTGTAGCTCCCCAAACATCAGTGGAGTCGATAGCCAAAAGCCTATACATATGTTCTTGTTTGCACAGAATGTACTCAGTTTTGAGTCCATAGCAGTAGCTGCTGGGGCTCATACAAGGACACAGGACGCGGTGCAGCAGCGCCATTATAGAATCACAGAGTCAGTTTGGTTGGAAAAGACCTTCAAGATAATCTGAGTCCAACTAGAAACCAATMACCCCCATTCCTGCTAAACCACGTCCCTCAGTCACAGAATGGTTGAGGCTGGAAGGGACCTCTAGAGATCATCCAGTCCTGCTAGAGACTCCTGCTCCAGCAGGGACACCTAGAGCATGGGGCACAGGGTGGCATCCACAGCTCTCCCCTCATCCATCCAGCTAGTTATCCTGTTACAGAAGGCTGTCAGGTTTCRTCAGACATGACTCCCCCTTCGTGAATCCTTGCTGGCTACTCTTGGTCACCTCCTYCTCCTTGSCATGCCTAGAGATGCTCTYTAGGATGAGCTGCTCCATCACCTTCCCAGGGACGGAGGTGAGGCTGGCCAGCCTGTACTTTCCTAGCTCCTCCCTCCTGCCCTTTTTGAAGACTGCAGTGACGTTGGTTTCTTCCAGTCCTYGGGCACCTCCCCTGCTCTCCAGGACCTCTCAAAGATGATRGAGAGCGACTTAGCAATAACCCCTGCCAGTTCCCTCAGCATTCTTAGGTGTATCCCATCYRGGCCCATAGATTTATGGGTGGCCAGCTTGCCTAAATAATCCCTATTCCAGCCCTCCTCAACCAGTGGAAGGTCTCCCTCTCTCCCATTTCTCTCTCCTTTATCTGAGCTCTGTCATTCATGGGGACCAGCCTTAGCAGTAAAGACTGAAGCAAGAAGGCATTTAGTAACTCTGCCTTCTCAGCATCCTCCRTCTCCAAGGCCCTCTCCCCATTCAGCAGCGGRCTAACTGATTTTCCATAGTCTTCCTCTTGCTGCTGACATATTTATAGAAGCCCTTCCAGTTGTCCCTGACATCCCTTGCTAACGCTAATTCCAGACAGGCCATGGCCTTCCTCGTTGCATCCCTGCACTCTCTGACACCRTGCCTATGTTCTTCCCATGTGGCCTGGCCCTTCTTCCACGTTGTGGATGTGCTCTTTTTCTCCACGCAGGTCTCCTGCCCCACTTGYTAGACTTCTTTCTTGTAGGAAAGCACCAATCCTGAGCTTGGAGGAAGTGGTGCTTGAATGTTAGCCAACTCTCCTAGACTCCCTTTCTTTCYAGGACCCTGACCCAGAAGGTTCCTCCAAGGAGCTCCCTGAAGAGGTCAAAGTTGGCTCTCCTAAAGCCCAGGGTCTCAATCCCACTTCTTGCCCAGCTTCTTCCTCGCGGGATTGTGAATTCCAACATCTCGTGGTCACTGCAGCCAAGACTGCCCCCAGCCCTCACATTTCMCACTAGACTCTCTCTGTTTGTTAGTATCARGTCTMGCAGCGCCCCTCCCCTTGTTGGCTCCTCAACCACCTGCATCAAGAAGTTACCTGCAATGTTCTGCAGGAACCTCCTGAACGGTCTGTTCCTGACTGTGTGATTGTCCCAGCAGATATCAAGGTGGTTGAAGTCCTCCATAATGACCAGGGCCTGTGACTGTGAGGCTGAGCCTGTGATSGTGAGGCTGGGTCTGTGACTGTGAGGCTCATCTACTCGTTTTCTTGAACACAGCCTGGGACAGTGACTCTACCACTTCCCCGTTGAAGGAGCACAGACAGCCTGTTCAATCCCTCACCACTCTTTCCGTGTAGAAATTGTTCCTAACATCTAACCTAACCCAGCAGAAGGAGGCAGTGGCGGTGGGGAAAGGTCTCTGGAGGCCGTGGAAGCTTCTGCCTTGGAACCAGCTGCCTGTGCTGCTTGGGCTGGCGCTTGGCAGCAGTTGGGCCGACCGCGAAGCCCAGAGGCGACAGGGGGAAGGGTCAGGGCGTCTTAGCGGGGGAGTCTGGAGGGAGGGCCCAGCAGCACCCACCGGGAGCAGTGCTGGAAACGCCTTCAAGCTTCCCTTACACAGGGAAGCAGCAAGGGGGAAAACTCCGACTCCCCACGTTGCCTTCCTCCCGAGTTAGACATTATAAGACAGGCTGGTATTYTGAGCATTATTTATTACTATTTATAGACTTCATGCTGAACACTCTCCACGGTTGGCTTGTTTTGCCTGCAAGTTATTTTCTCTGTTTTGTCTTTAACAAATCGCAATAATAATTTTTTTTTGATTCCCAAGCTCTTGCGAACAGTTCAAGATAAATTTAAAAGGAAATAAATAAAAAGTATTTTCAGTAGCTATGTGCTTTGAATCATGTTCTAATGCAACTGATAAAAGAACATTAGTGGTTTTGTGGAAAAGAAGACCTTGAAATGAGGTGATAGAGCTGGAGCCAGCCATGCAGCTCTGTTTTAGAGGAAGGTGGAGAAGCACAACAGAAATGACCGAAGCGCCGTTGCTGTAGCCTCAGGGCAGAGGATGAGCCAAGGACCAGGTCTCCTTCAGGCTCTCTTCAGGGCTCTTCCACTGGGGCTACAGGGAGATGCCACTTGCAGTAGGACCAATGGTGCCAATGAGGGAAAAATTCTCACCCTTTTGAAAGCAGCAGAGATTCATTGTTTAGCTGAACACAGTCAGGAATTTGCCATGAAGGTTGGTTTATGTCTCTTGTGGGTGATACCTCAGCTCCAGTGTTTCTGAGGGAAGGGGAAGWCTGGTGTGGCCACCTGAGTTGGCTAATGGGAAATGTTAGTTCTTTGATATATTTCTGTCCACGTTGCCTCTGTGGTTCCTGCAGCCTTCCCTCGTTTTCCCCACCGGCCCGTGACAGTCTGACCCTGCAATCTCGGTAGGCTTTCATTCCTGGCACCAACAACCGTCACTTCGCAGACTCTGCAGCCCCAGCCCTGTGGTTTCCGAAGCTCTGGGTCCTGTGTGGACCTTGGTCTGCCCTGCCGGGTTTGGTGGCGCTCCACGGGCGAGGGGCGCTGGCCATGGGGGAGGGCCCTGGGCGAGGAGGGGGCGCAGGGGGCTCTTCTGGGCTGCTCCAAGCGGCCGGACGGAGCAGGTCCTCTCTCCATCCCGCCCCCAAACTGCCCAGAGGCTGGTTCTGAGCCCCAGCCCAAAGCAAGCACTCGGGCAGCAATGCCGTGAGGCTTTTGAGCTTTTGACAGCATCTCCCTTTCATACAGGGGATGACAAACAYGCTTTTCTCTCTCGAATGCCTGGATAACTGGCAGATACCATTTCAAGAATATTCAATATTACTAAGTTCCTTTTCCACCTACCATTTCCAAGTGATAGCTAAGGATGATTGACTACTACTAGCAAAACCCTGTATTTCCTGGCAGTAGGAAAAGCTATTGACTTCATTCACTGACACATTTGAGATAATCAGTGCTTCCATTAGCACTTAAAGGCTGTTCTAGCTGAACTGAGTTTTAGTGAGTTTTAAGTAAGCCACATGTGGTTTTGCCATAGGAAAATAAATAAAAAAGCACATTCTGGGCTGAGCATTAAGCTAGGGAAGACAGRCGGAGCTGTAAGCTAGGGAAGAAAGAGGTAACTCTTCTGAAAGCAAAGGTTGATGGCTGGTGTTGCACTGCCATCGTTGTTTGTTTTGCAGTCAGTGGGATGTCAGGAAGATGTAGCTGACCTTGAGAGCGCGACCTGAGGACAGAGCTAGGAATAAATGGCTCTCGATACAGCAGCTCTCGTGATGTATAGACAATACTGGTTATGCTACCCATMCAGTATAATCAGCAGGGTATTGTTTTCTCTTATAGTAAGGAAATGCAGTGAAAACTGTGGGTCTGCAGAGACACCTCTGAGGACGCCGGGACCCTCAGGGAAGCAAAGCAGAACAGCACTTGGGCGTAACTGGAATTTCTCCACTTTCTGCTGCAGAAAGTAAATCTGCTCTAGGCAATGGGTGCAAATGAGAACCACTCAATGGCAGTACTCACTGTACAGGGCATAACTGAGAGAGGCGAGTCTGAGCCTGGATTTTAAACCAGAGAGGAATTTTGCAGACAATATTATCGAGAAGTAAATTGCTCTTCTAATATGGCAATTCCAGCAGTGTTGCTCAAATATGACTGTTAGGATTTCCTTTTATGTGTCTGGGGCTTTTAATTCTGGCCTTTGAAAGAAAATTTTCTTCTTTTCTGAAATAATTCTGCTTTGTAGCCTCAGTGTTTAATAGGTGGTCACAAGCCTCAGTGTTTAATAGGTGGTCACAATATCGATCCTTTCTCTGTAGTCAGGAGAACTGCACTGCTGTTTATTTTTAATCAGTTCCAATTTTAACTCAGGCTGAGATACTTCCATGAATGCCAGTTTGCCCTGAAAGGGCGTTCGGTGTTTCGGGAGCAATCAAATCTGAGTCTGGGCTACTGTGGTCATCGCAGTGAGGCTGTTCACCATTGGAGCTGCTTTCTTCTGCCTGTCTCCTTGCAAACACCTGTCTGCAATGCGTGGAAAGAAAAAAACGTACCATTATTGGGGGATCTCCATGTGGAAGACAGATGACAGCAGCTTCATAAGCAGGCAACTTCTTAAAGTTTAAAAAAAAATATATAGAAGCTGGTTGTCCTAACAACAAAATGCACCAAATTCAGCATGAGTCTGACATCTGTCCTCTTTATCAACCATGAGTATCAAGCTTTTGCTTCACAAAGGGGTATAACCAATAGAAACAYTTTGAACTACGGACCAGATTTGATGCCCCTCTCATCACCCTCCCAGTTGGGACCCTTAGTTCAGTCCTCATCACAGTTCTTTAGTTGGGATTTTAAAGGGAAAACTGGATGCTTTSCTTTGACTTGCTGTATAGTGGGAGTGAAGGGCGCTTTCATGGATGGTCCTGGGGGAGAGAAGGAGGATAGGAGTGATGTGGGTCTAAAGCGGGCAAAGCTACCTGAACCTGGGGCAAGAACTAACCAGCACCAGCTAGCAATCAGTATTTTTAAACCAGCAGGGCTGGAGAACAYGCATCCCAGAGACCTGAACACCGCCTGAGGAGACCTCTGGCCAACCCGTGTTAATTTTTAACCATCCTCAGAGTAGCTGGGAAACTCTACAACACTGGAAGAGGGCTAAGTGCCAGCGTRCAAAGAGCTGCCCTCAGCCAGTGGAACGGACCTCAGTTCCAGGAAAAAAATCATGGGAAAACTCAGATAAGATATAGCTGACAAAAGTTTCAAAGGACAGACAAAAAGTAATTCCAGACAGTTCATTTTAGGGAACAACAGGTATGGTGAAACAAGCCTGATTTCATTCTTTTGGGGCATTCCACTTCTCGGCTGACAAAGGTGGCTGCATATATGTACATGACATTGCAGTAAGGGTTTTGACTTAATGCAGTTCTGTTTTCTTTAAAAATAACTGTGAATCTCAGAGTGTAGCTGGAGAATGACCATTGGCTATGAATGCTTCCAGGAGAGCTCCACAGCTGCCTGATACTGTTCAGCGTTTCCACCAGGGAATATGGAATCAGGGAGTATGGAGTATTTCATCTGGAAGTATGTGTGAGATATTGCTGTGAACAAAATTTACAGGGAAAGATACAGTGAGACAAGGAAGAGGAGCCAGGTAAGATGGACCTGCTCACACAAAACGCATTGTAAAGCTTCACCCCTGGCACTAATGTTGAGAACTGCAGATTTTTTATGAACTATACTCTCCCTTAATAGAGTGGACTGAGAATGTTTTTCCTTGTAGCACAGGAAGGGTTGAGATGTCAACAAATAAAAAAAAAAGCAGAGTTCATATTTTGAATTTGTTGATTGTGGAGGCAGACATGTGRTCTTTTAAAGTCTGGAGCACATGGTACTGTGATTCCAAAATATCCTATGATGTTTATCGCGATTTGATCTGTCCATAGCAATCACTTCTTTGGCATCGCCAACTTAGTCCTCTCTTCTTTTCATTTATGAGTAGCCTATATCTTTTCTAATGCAAATATATGTTTAGTCCTGTTTTTATTAAAACTTATTAACTAAACCAAGATGCAAGGGCAAGGCACAGCAATGAGAAGTACTGACCAAAATAATAAAATGAACTTGTTCTCCTCTGCAGAGGGACAGGACCTGGGCAGATGTTGGCCGCCCTCACTGGGCAGCACTCTCAAATCTCCTCTAGAACATCAGTTTTCTGGGGTTTATGTCTCTTGAGAGTGAGCTGCCCTGTTTTTACATTGTCTGAGGACTGCCTGGACTGGATGTTCTGTACCTTCTGAGGAGAAAATGTTTGATTTGATAATATGCTCATTGATAGGACACTGAATGCATTGCTCAAGAGCTGTTTCACAAATGGAAGTGTGCGTGTCATTTGWAAATATCGCTCTGGTGCCTGTTACATAGGAAGTCTTTTTTATGACATTAGAAACTATTTAACTATTTTGAAAACAAACCCCCCATAATTTTAGATTTCAAAAGAGAAAGGGCAGGAGCAGAGAAAGCAGCGGATAGAGTCTCAACCCTGATGGTCCCTTTCCCAGGAACTAAGACGCAGAGGCGACTGCACAGCCCACCCTGGACATGTGTTTGCCTGGTCCCTCCTGGCTTCTTTCTCCAAGGGTTTCTTGGAGTGTTTCTCCGAGCACCACTGCAGAGGTCCTCGTGYTCTCACCTCATGTTCAGTGTGTGGGTGTATCAGTTTCCTCTCCGGTGCAGAAACTCAGCTTAACCAGTTTTCACTTGATCAGTAGTCTCTGAGCAACTTCAGCATCACTGTACTGTCACATCAAAGCCTGCCAAAAGCTGCAGCTCTTGTTGCCCTTGGCCACCCTTTAGATGTCAGGAGTGAGAACACTTTTCTGTGAAGCCGCTATAATTTGAGCTCTGATGGTGACTGAAGTCTTTGACAGGCTTTGAGCCTTTGACTGTTCCCAGCCTCTTTAACAGCCTCTGCTGCTCTGGGTCTGAGCGCTGCTCCTGTGAAAAGGACCTGGTTCTGTCGACATATGAAGAAAAAGGTCTCCTAATGGTGGAGGTGTGAAAGACAGCTTTATCCCTTGAAATCAAGTCTTAAGAAGAGCATACCTGCTGTTTGAGATTAAATTCAGAAATCAAACAAGGGATATACATACAATTGGGATGTCCCAGGAACACTGCCTACGGGACACGAGCTGTAAAGTCTCTGCCGTCTCAGGGGTGTTGCTGTGATCTTTGCAGTCAAGCCATGCAGAGCTCAAACACTGTTCCTCCAAGTGCCCTTCCTGAGCTTCAGATTTAAATCCTTCTGGGAAGCTGGGTTCCTTCCAAGTTATATAGCCTTCCCCTTCAAGAACATCAAGATACCTSAGTGTAAGAATCCATGATCACCACTAGTGGGAGGTAGTTGCTAGAGTTCAYGGTTGAATATATCAACTGAACTTAGACAAATTCCTTTCATTCCAGGAAAGAGTCTACTGTGATAGAGAACTCTGGAGAAAGCAGGGAACAAGAAGAGCTGCCTGAGAACATGGTCTGCTTCCTCAGGAAAGTAGCTCTGATGCTGGTCTCCTTACTATACTACTACCAAGATCTTCCTCTCCCCAAAGACAAGGTAGCATGCCCAAGCAAAGAGAGCTGACACTTCTTCCTGGCATCTGCAAAAAGAGAAACTCATTCCTGGAGTATCCAATTAACTGCTTTTGGGGACGGTTGTTGAAGGTAAACCAAAAAGGAACCACCACCAAAAAAATCCCTCTGAAGACTGTCTGCTGTCATGTGAGAGCTAAGATATTGTGAAACATATTGTTGTGTTTTTCTAGGAATCAAAAACCCTGAGCTGTCAAATATCCAAATAGGCTCCCCAGTTCCAGGAATGAAGCAACTGCTGTGATTCATTTGGATGGAGCCAGAAAATTGGAAGGGCACATGAACATTGTACAGTCTGGCCACGAAAAAAGCTCTTACCTGCAAACTGAGAAGATGGCTCACTACACAACAGACCTTTTAAAGCCAACTCRCACACCTCCAGCTCTGGCAAGTGTTATCCTGAAACCACATGTTACTATATGTCCCAGAAATATTGGGTAAAATTTGATGGTACTAGGGAGAAGAAATATCTAAACATTGAATCATTTTCCTATTGCCAGAAAGCTYTCTGGAGTCAGAACAGCTCAATATGCTACCAAGGAGTCCAGAAGTCATTTGACTGATTCCTTCTCTGAGGCTACTATGGCAGCAAGAAATGTGGATAAGGGTTGAGAATTGCAGACTTTCCAACTCCCTGAGTAGCTGGCTCTTTTTCTTCTTTTTTTAATATTATGTCTGGCAGGCAAGTAATTGCCAGAAGATTTTATAGGGCCTCACAGCAGTCTCAGTCATGGCTGTCAGGAATGCACAGGCTTCTAGTCAGGACACGGGAATCTCCATTTGGGAGGTCTAGGAAGGAACATTGCTGGCTCCCGTGGCAGAAGGTTTTAGCTTTCAGCAGGAATGGCCTTCAGCCACTAACCCTGGAATCAACCACTTCTTTGTTGTGATAATGAGTATGAAGTAACTGGCCCTGCTCCCCAAAACATTTTTTCTTTCGGTAGCAATTTCATAAGAGTTACCAAAGGGATCAGCACTTGGATTCTTTGCTGCAACCTTCTTGGAGGCATCAGCCCTCTCCTCCTGACCTTTCTCATCAGATCGGCAGCAAATGACTTTGTAGGACAGAGAATATTGAGTAGCAATCTGATCATGGCTTCAGGTCCGGGCAAGCTCTCAGAGCTTAGGAACTATGCTGCAGCATATGCACATCCAGATGTGGCATATGGCATTCAGGGGGCTTTGATGCCAGCTTCTTTTCTATATGGATATAGAGCTATAACTAGCACTGGCACAGGCTGCCCAGGATGTTGTGTCTCCTTCTCTGGAGATCTTCCAAACCCACCTGGATGCCGCCCTGTGCCCCGTGCTCTGGGTGTCCCTGCTGGAGCAGGGGGTTGGACTAGGTCATCTCTAGAGGTCCCTTCCAACCTCAACCATTCTGTGAGTCTGTGATTCTGTAAAAAAACACCAGCCTCTACCAGGGTAGATGTCATGGCCTTGCCCAAATCTTGATATGCACAGTGGAGGAGATGTAATCACTGCGTGWTATACAAGACCAAACTGTACGGCCTTCAAGGGCCCTACAGAGATCCAGCTGGCGGTAGATCCAGCCGATGTGTGGAGAGTGGGAATGCTTGACAGCCAACTGYGGAGGAGCCGAAGGAGGGAGCACTCTGGTTTCAGCGGGCAGATGAGCAGGCTGGAGCGACACACGCTGCCTTGCAGGCCCTGAGCTGAGCTCAACAGAGAGGTTGGTGAGCACAGGAACAGCAGTGAAGGTAGAAGTTCCCCAGCCCTGACCTGAGACGTGTTTTATATGTTTGATGGGTAAAGGTGTTGGAATTATGACAGGGAAAAAGAAAGGAGAATTCAAAAGAGAAATTAGGCAAACTCCATGCCACTGGTAATGAAAGGATTACATAAAAAGAAGATACTGGGGAATGTGGTGGGAGTGAACCAGAAGAATTTCTTTCAGGCAACCCACTGTATTTTATTTTTCAGAGTGGGAGAAGTCAAATTAGCGCAGAAAGATAAAAAATAAATGGAACTCAATCAAAAAGAGCCATTTTTAAGGGCTTAGTAGTCTTTTCAATCCTAAAATTTCTAACAGCAYGTTTCAAGTCTAGTATAATGACAGGCACAATGATTTCAAACCCGCTTTCCATTAGCAGTTCCTGGGCTTTTCAAAAAACATCTCGAGATTTCCCTTGGTCACCACAGCTCTTCAGATGGGTGAGACTGGACATAATATTGGGAATGAATATGGATATTTTAAAGACGAAGATTCCACTCTCAGAAACGTGATAGAGAAATTAAAAAATCTAACATTTAATCGTGTGAAGTCTTTCACACATTGAGATTTTTCTGCCTATAGGCTTCTCCTGCCAGTTCTTTATGCACAGTAAATTAACGGCAACTTGCTTCTGCTACTCTGTAATTGTATGTCCTTTTTCATGCATTTCTGGCATTATTAGCTTGCCTCCTGCTTTGTGGTATATTTAGGCAAGTTGCTTTTTATTGTTGTTGTTACCTTTTGTTAGCATGCCAGAGGCCTTAGGGTGCCAACAAATAAGACTATTCGTGCTCCCTTTTCCTGCCATGTTATTCTCATTTGCCTCTGCTTGTTCATGACCTAATCTTGAACCCCTGCCTAATTTGCTGAGCTGATTTCTYGGCATCTTGCTCAGACTAGGAGAAGCAGCGGGCAAACCCATCCTTGTTTGCACAAAAGTTATTTGCCAAAGAAACTAGCAGCAAACAAAGCAAACTGAATGTAAAAAGCTGCAAACAGAAACCTGTCCTTAACAAAGTTCAAAATCACAGGCTGGCTTCGGCGTACGATCCCATTCAGCGAGCGGGTGCCCTRCGCCGTGGGCACCGGCTGCATCCACTGCAGCTGCAGGACAGGGCCTGGCATCTCGTGGAAAACTGGGGCATCCCTGTCACAGCGAGGTATTGACGCCCCGGCCTTTTCAGTCACGGAGATTTCAGGTGGGAACCAGCTGCCCAAATACACCGTGTGCTCCACATTTCTGCCCTGGAGGGTGCTCCACTGTTTTGCCAAGCAGAGCTGTAAAAACGGCCAGTGGAATCTACCATGTCAGTTTGGGATTTCTGGGATCACATACACGTGATATAGACGTTGAGGCATTGAGTAGCAAAGACTTTGTCATAACCAATTTAATATACAACTTTAAATCATTCCACTTATTTATTACCCTCATTTAAAATAGATGATCTGCACGTGAGTAGCATTGTTTTCCCATTATTGCATCTTAAAATGGATGATACTTTACCCTGTGAGTATTTTAATGGGACTCTTCAATTAAATAGCAGTGATCTAAAGGTGAAAATAGTTCATAATGAGAATTTTTCAATCACTCCTCCTTGAGAACCAAACTGATTTATTTTTCTTGCTGTAGAATGTGTTTCCCTGTTTTTCTCAGTTTCCTCTAACCCCCTTTTAAGGTGGGCATCCTCAGGTAAGTATAGTATTTTTGGAGTGATCTAAGAAATGCCACACATGCCACCTTTGTAATCTCACTAGCAAGCCTCCTCTTAAGATCAAGGACTAGAGAACAGCTCTGGGAGCTCAGGTTCCTCTTTCCCACCACCGTAATTCCCCTTTCCTTCTTAAAAGTGATTTACAAGCTGTACTCCCCTATAACATCTTAGTTCCGTAACACACGACCTCGAAAGCTGCCGGAATGAGAAGGCAAGTTGTTTGTCCCCAGCCTGCTCTGACAGCCCCTCTGCTTTGCTCTTCCGCCACCTTCCCGTGATGGGCAAATTGCAGCAGTGAGGAATTTGTGTTTTATCCAGCTGATTGATACAGGCAATGAATAGCAGTGGACTGAGAGGCACTCACATTAAATAGTAAAATAAGCAGTGTCRTGTCTGTGTGCTCTTGTGAAAGCTCTGTGTAATCAGTGGATCACCTGAAGCAAGGAATGAACAACTCCATGCAGACCATTTTAAAATGCTGATCTATACTTACTTTCTCCCTGGCGGTACTTACTTGATTGGTGTCGATCCGGAGCGGGACATATAAAGCAAAATAAGGAAGAGAAACATCACAAATGCAGCAAGCCCAACCCAAAAGGCTATGACGATAGTATCTGTGAGCACAACACAATAATTCTGTTATTGGCAACACAGGAAACATAAAACACACACGTATATCTAGTGATTTCTAAGAACTATGTCATTTAATTGATTCAATTTAACTAAACTCTTGAGAGGGAGGAACCTGAGCAGCAAGTCGTTAAACAGGCTCATAGCAGCGCCTGGTAACAGTGCATGGCCAGGGTTGCATGAGAGTTTGGAACAAGGRAAGCCAGCAGGTGTGACTGTGACTGGCACCATGCGTGCATTCAGAAGGGGGTATAGTGCATTTAGGAGGGTTTTCAGCATTTCTTTGTAGTTAACACAGTTCCTCTCACAAAGTCACGGGGCATTGGGTGAGCAGTGCAGTACTCAGGAGGACTAAAATGTTACTACTCAGTCTATCAGCCAGATCCTGCTCTCAAGTGTGTAACTACAACCACGCATGGACTCTAGGAGGGATCTGATGACGCTTTTAAGGAGGAAAATCTACTCTTGGAGCACTTCTTTTCCCGCCCCAGTTGCTCCAACAGTCCTGCTCCCCAGGATGTAGGTACTGATGTGCTCCCCAGCTAAGGCCTTAAAAAGACTGGGCGCTGCGCAGGACGTAGGCTTAGGAACACCCGGGATTCATAACCAGCTACTCACTTCGACTGAGGGGAAAAAGAAGGGTCAATGACTCCAGAGGCAAATACTGACTAAGAGAAAATAAATCTTCTATCTCAAAGGACAAAAAAACACCAGTGTTCTTTGAAACACGTCCAATATGTTTGATTAGGTATTTCTTTGTGAAGAAGTTCAGAACGTGTTGTCATCAGAGCCACAAAGAGATGAAGGGGAATTACTCTAGTTCCTTTTAAACCTAAAATTAGAACTGACCCAGTGGGAGTCTTATCAGGAAGCTGTTTTGGATGGGCTCCTGAGCAACGGAACGTGCAAAGTGACTGCTGGAAAATCAGCTTATTTTATTCTGCCTCTGTTAAATTAAGTTTTTACTGAGCTTCAATGCAGAGGATGATAAATTAGCATGAGAGAGCCACTGTTCTGACTCATCCATCACAGAATTATTATGGGAAAAAGGGACTGGCGGCTACTGGCCAGTCCYGAGTCCTCAAGGAAGGATTAGAGGACTTCTGTAAGAAAAAAAAAAAGGCTATTTACGATCCAAGGATAATCTGAAAAGCTCCAAGTTTTGAAGTACTCAAAGCCTCACAGAYAGGGTGAAAGAGTCTGCATTTTTAYATATATATTCCCCATCAAGGTCATTTTGGTTTATATTTTAAGAGGAACTTTAATATAATTCATAGGATTCACAGAAGCTAATCAGAACTGCTCCGCATCTCAGGAGGAGTCTGAGCTCCTGAGGATAAACAGAAACTCCCCGGATATTTTTAAGGTCTTACAAATAATATGTATATATTTTATATTTTAACTGAGATAACATATTTTAACAATCTCTCTCTGTAAAAAAAAACTTCTATTGCTGAATTTTATAGACACCTCTTGTGTGTGTGTGTGTGTGCGCACGCGTGCATGTACATGTGTTTTATTAAATTGCCTATTAGTTCATGGGCCAACCTTGTTATTATTTTTATACAAAATGGATGGAGCTGCACAATGCGGTTAATGCAAAGCAAGACTATAACTTTGYGGTCGCATTTAGATTCATTTTCATGATAAGAACAGAGTCTTACAACAGTTCAGGGACAGGCCACATAACAGAACGAAAGTGCAGAGATTTGGGTCCCTGCTTTAACATTATACAAAACACACACACACAMAAAAAATCAGCAAGAAGCTGAATTAGGGGGCTCCAATTCCATCCCAGGTTTTTCTGTGTGTTTTATTTGGGCTGAGCCAGCAATGCACCAAAGCAAAAGCTGAAGCCCTTTTGCACTCACCCTGCAAAGAGTCTCTGCAACGTCAAGTTTTACCGCTGGAGACAACAAACACTTTGCCAAACCCGAATGTTTGTGGCTATCTAAGCCCTTATCTGACGGGAAATTATCACATTTCATCTTCAGCCCATCCAGGGCAAGGACTTGCTGAGCCTACTTTGTTTACATAGCTCCAAGCCCAAGGAGACAGTAACAGTGCCTTTTGAAAGTATGGGAATATACATTTTATGTAAATACAGGAAAATCTACAAAGTAAATCATTTGCCTGACTAGTCTTTGTATTTAAAGCACGTAAACAAACTAACCAACTACAGAATTAATTCCCTTGGTGTTTTCCTTATAACTTGAAATCTCTGTTCTCTCCATCTTTGGAGAAGAAAGAATAAATGTACTAAGATGATGCAGCCTCCATTCCTCCTTGATTACTGACATGGAAAAAATGTCTATTTTTATATGAAGAACAAAAAAAGTTTTATTTTCCTGATTATCAGAAAATCAAGCCCAATATTTTAAGCTGAGAATTGAATATTACCAATGTGTTTTTTTCCTAAGGACATAAATCATGGAGCAGAACTCTGTTTTAAGAAGCTGCCTAGAGATACGTTACATGAACTGCAACCCAAGGGAATGCAGATTGCCATAACATTATCCTGCTGAGAGGAAAAAAACATACATCCTGAACCCTGCTCTGGTACCTTTGTAGTTGCTCTTTGCCTGGCAGATGAGCAGCTGAAGCACAGAAGCTGCTTCCTGCAGATCTGTTTCCCAAAGCTGAGCCCAAGGGCGGTTTCTTTGTCTAACAGAGGATGTTCTCACCCCACAGCCCTTTTGCCAGCAAAGGTCTTTGCGCTTCCTCCTCTATCCAGCCACCCACAGCAAGGAACTGGTGGATATTTTGTACCTTTGAGGCTCCCGCTCCTTCTCTAGCGGATAAACAAGCTAAAGTTGCTGGAGAAGCAAATCAGGTGTGTAAACACAAAGTGTGATCATCTAAGTCACCTCTTTGGAATATAAAAAGGTCTGAAAGAAGGCAGACCTCTCCTTCTTTAGGGAGGAAAAAGAGAGGAAATACAGAAAAAATCAATAGCAGAGTGGTTTACTCTGCTTTCTTAGGGAAACGAGGCTTATGAGATCACKTTGCGTGCATGTGCTCACGTGCGTGTGGGAATTTCCTGCCTGGAAGAATTAGCAAATTTCAATTAAATTTAACAGAGAGGGAACATCATCTCACTGCAATATGATTTCTACAAGCGGAAAAAAAAAAGAAGAAAAAAAAAAGGCAGCAGGGTAGAAATATCCTATAATCCTATWAATGGCCATGGAAAGAAACGCTTTACCACAAACTCCACCCCTGCTGGATATCTGGGAAGGCAAATGTCAGAAAGATGCTATTAATGGGAAGAAAAGGTCAGATTCCTGAGCGGGGCTTGCGCAAAGCCAGGTGGTTTAACGCGGCAGTTCAGGGTTCCCCTCGTGAGCTTTGGGGCAACTATCTGCCCAGGCATCCTTAAACTGAAGACCACCAGAGAAGCAGTGCAAAGCTACTCCAAACCTGCCTGTTCCCAACAGCACCGTAGGCTGCTCTAGTCAGAATTTGGGAGCAGGATTTTACACATGGAAGAGGGGGGATATTACACTGCCTTTTCTGCAGCATGGTGCCCGGGGCTCCCAAGTTTGGAGGCCACATAGAAATGGGATGCCCAAGTACCTGGGCTTACACTAATCCCTTGTGGCATGAGCTGCCATTTTACCTTATCAAAACCACATAGCAATTTGCTTTCCCTGATGAGTAAGCATAAAAAGACACAGCTCGTTGTGTAAAACCAGGCACGCAAGGGAATCGGCAGTCACGTGCGCTGCTAACGCGGCTGCCTTTGGGGAATGTTATTTCACATCCACCGAAAATAAACTTTMAGGATCAGCAGTTTGCTTCCATGACCATAATGCAGTTTGGAGGTAATGTATATGATTAGGTTGTCTTACACTTCAGGAGCACTAAATCATAGCTTTTCTCATAGGCTATTTTTTGTTGTCGTACGAAACTCAATAGGATTACTTACAGATGGATGCCAAATAAAAGCCCAAAGGAAGAAAAGTAATAGTATATGTTTTCATTTTGGTGAAAGCATAGAGTTATTCCTTTATCAAAGCCTTAACTGTGTTTAACTCAGTTCTGGCATAAGCCTTGCGTTCCCAGAGGGAAAACACTGTAGTCTGCAGATCAGATCTGTTCACTCTGTCTTCATGTAGATAAGCAGCCCCCCAAACCACTGATTTGCGTGTCAGTAGATTTCCCCTTAGCAAATGGTTAAAAAGAAACCCGTCCTCTAAACAGGAGTTCATGTCAGCAGTCTGAAATACCATACGATAAACCAAAGAGCTTCAGTGTTTGTAGAAATTGCTACTCAAACATTGATTAATGCAGCTTGGAAGGCAGACACTCATCCACACAAACCACACAAACCAGCATGGCATCCGTTACAAAGAAAACAAACTCAGAGAGAACACGCAACGTTTTCCTGGGGTAGATCAGCACCTACCACTCTGCAATACTTACATTTATTAACCTTCAACTTCCTTCCATCTACTGGAATTGGGTCTATGTAATCCCAGTAATATTCGTAAGACCAGAAATACTCGGAAGCGTTTGTTCTGTTAGCCATTTCAGGAGGGCATTTCAAAGCAGYTCAGGACTCCAACCAACTACTTTGTTTCATCGTACTTCAGCGCCCTCAGAAAGAGGTTGCATAACTGATGCCTGTGTAAATCACCCTGCAGCTCAAGGACTGCCTTGGTAAYAAAAAAAACAGTTAGCAGAAACGAGCATTAGCAGGAGCATTTAGATGCAATCCTCTATTCCCGGTGGGCAATTRAGCTACTCCTCGGCATATTTAAACTGAGATGGATATAAAATAAAGTAAGGGTGGCATGGACACGGGCCAGCTGCATCCCAGCCTCCGAGAAACTAGCAGCAATGAAGCATACTCAGGACCTGCAGCAAGCAGCTGGGCTAAGTTTTCTGTGTTTCCAGTAACACATAGAAAAACCTGACAAGAATTGCTAAGATTCTCCAGAAATAAGGCTCGTATTGAAGTAAGCATAGGTTTTGCCTTGTACTTTTTCATTCGGCTGCTCCCCCCCCCCCAAAGCAATGGATGAAAAAGCAGCTTCTGAGACAAGGTGCAGGCTCGAAYGCACTGAGCTGCCCAGTGCCTTCGTCCTGCAGCACTGCAAGTACCTCGGCACGGGCATGCACACAAGATTTCTTGTTTTTAAAGAGCAACAGATTCTTTTTACTGCAGCCCTAAAGCCTACAGGCTATTTCCCCGGGGCTAGAACATATCTCTGCTGCTCACCCTGGCCAGGCCCTGCTGCACTGCAGGGCACACTGGGGCATCACTTGGAGCAATACCAACGGCCAGTTAAAACCAGGCGCCTCCAAAACCCGCGCTGAGCTTTTATTTCCCTTCTCCCTTCCCTCACGAGCGCTTCCAGGCGCCTCCTCACGCGCCTCTCGACGTGCGCTGAGCCCAAGCACAGCAGGACAAGCTACCCTCCCCRACACCAGCAATGGCGGCGGAGGCGCCGCGACCGTTAGCGGCGCCAACGGCCGCGGGGCGGGGCCAACGGCCGCGGGGCGGCGTCACTGCCGCTTCCGGCGCGCGCCGCTTGAAGGCGCCATGGCGGGCGCGCTGTTCGCGCCGCTCGGCGCCGCGGCCGGGCCCGACTCGTCGCTGTCGCTGCTGGAGGCGGAGGGCGCGCAGGAGGCGGCGGCAGCAGCAGCCCGCGGCGGCGGCGGCTCGGGCCCCGAGGCGGACGAGGAGCTGCTGCCCATGGTGTTCCTGTGCGCCGGCTGCAAGCGGCCCGTGGGCGACACGCTCAGCTGGGCGGCCAACGACGAGGAGGGCGGCTGCATCCTGCTGCGCAGTGCGTGTCCCCGGCCGCCGCCGCCGCCCCGGCCGCCGCCCGCCGCGCTGAGCCCTCTCCCCCCGCAGGTGCCTCCGCCAGCGTCGCCGTGGACACGGAGCAGAAGGTCTCCAAGCGGCCCGGCGAGTGCGGATGGTGAGGCCGGCTGCGGGGCGGCCCGGGGCGGCCCTGCCGGGCCCGCGGGTTTGCCTGCGGGTCGAGGGGGGCCGGGAGCAGCCCTGCAAGGGGCCTGGAGCAGCCCTGCTGCSGGGGCGGGTTTACCTGTTGGCCCGGCCGACATGGTCCCCACGAGGACCTGCCCTAGCCCAGTGCAGGCTAGGCCATAATAATTACCGCCAACCACGTTGGGGAATTTGAGAGTAAACCCTGACAATCACAGGTGGATGATCCTACCATCTCTGAAAGAGGTGATGGGAGAACCCTCCTTCCCTCCCGCCTCTTTYCCTGCCCCCAAATAAATCTGGTGTGTCTCTCTTGCAGCATGGTTGAGACGCTGACGTGTGCTGGCTGCTCCATGGTGCTGGGCAGCATCTACAGGTGCACGCCGAAGCATCTCGACTACAAGAGGGATATGTTCTGCTTCAGTATTGAATCRATAGAAAGGTAAAGGTAGCTGGGTGCTGTGGGGGGCCTTTGTTTTGCTTTAGATTGGTTTCTCTAGCTGTTGTTTGATGGACACTACTTTTGGTATTTATGGAATATCCAGAGGTGCTTATCCCTATTTCCAGGACAGTTCTCTGTGTTACTGCTGCTAACATCACAGTGCTAAAATGAAAGATATTTCTGTTTCTATATCATCTGAGCAGTAATGATGACAGCTATTTCTTCCAGCTAGTGCAACCTTTTCTGTGTTGGAATAACTTTTCACTTTATCCTGTAGCATCAGAATTGATGACTATTGTTGGAGACCAACTGTTATACAGCAATGCAGTCTTAGTAGTTCTGYTACTCTCTTAAATGAGTTGCTCTCATTTCATCTTACATTTTTTTTTGCAAGGTCACTAAGTATAGATTCTTGTTGCTTAGTCATGTTCCTGCATTGGTAGCTTGTTACTCTGCCACTACTCTCCACAATGAGGTTATAATTATTACATTTCTGTGTTTGTCTTCAGAGTGCAAAGTGCACAATCTAAACTCTAGCGTATCAGTTACATTCTAGGATCCTCAGAAAAACAAGCCCTTACTGATGAGGAGCCCATAACGCTCGAGAGTCGAGCTGTCTTGGAAGAGGCCCTGGAAAGGGTAAGATTTCACCTAGTGTTGCTCACTGTGTACGTGAGGTCTGAAGTTTTCATATCTGTAAATAGTTTCTTCAAAGCAAGCTATAGTTTGTCAGACTCTGCATTTTTACTGTGCGCTGTGACCCTTCATGCTGTTAGTATTGTGCATTAGCTAAGTTTCTCAGCAACTTACATAATTGTAATTTTTTTMCTGTCTGTTAAATACAATTTGGTTCCCATTTCTTTCTGTCTGTAGTCAGAATAGCTTGCCCCCTGTAGCTTTGCTTTGCTTCTCCAGGTTTTTTAATTTACTTTCAGGAAATCTACTTTTGTAGAAGCCTATCTTGCATGCAGATTGACTTCCTGTGGATTTTTTTTAATTGATCCATTGCCTAATAGTCTCATAAATGTGACTGGTTGCTCTCTTCTGTAAAAGTGGGAAGAGCTGGGAGTACATCCAATAAGCGTCAGCTTTCAAAGCCTGGTTGTGTAGCAGAAGCTGAATGTCTGGAATTGACCCCTCAAAGTGTGAGGGTGACTGGCATGGATTCTAGAGAGTGCTGAGAGATCATACTGAAATCAACTAAACCTCTAGACTGTGAAGGCAGTGGGAAAAGAGTTAAATAGGATTGATAACACCTGATTAGCTTCTAGTACTTATTGACATCTTTGCTTTGTTTTGTAAAGGTCTATTTCTTACCAAGTGTCTTTCCATCTTTCCTTTATAGGCAGACACCATATTAAAGGCACTGGAGGCAAGATTGACTGTTGTTGAATCAAGTTTTGCTTCTCTGCATAATAATGTCTGAAAAACTTCTGTAGGTGAATTCAGCTGTTGGGAATGATGTATGTGAATATTGCACTTGTAATCCTCTGCAGTCTACAGGGACCTTGAGAAAGCCCTGCGGAGAGCTGAGATTCACCTAGTTCATGCTGCAATAGGGCAATGCTGGCTGGAAGTCTTTGACACAGACAAATTCTTTTCCTCGGATAAAAGATTCCTCCAGAAAGAAAAAGTTTGTCCTTTTTTTTTTTTTTTTGCTTTTTTTTACTACTTCATGTGGACTCYTTGTTGATATACAAATATTCAAATTTTCATATGTGAAAGTAAAAACTCTGCCATGACTTCCTCACAATCTTCTCCGGCAATCTTTTCTTCAGACATTGCTTCACTTGTGCCTCTAGACAGGAGCAAGATAGTAATTGCTTCCTGCCCGCTCAAAGCTAAAATCATAGTGGTTGTAAAAGAAGTGTCCTCCTCTTGAAGCTCTGTTATATAAATAAGATTGCTGGCTGCACACCTTTAAGCAGAGCTTAGTGTACGTTTAAACTATCTCCAAACATAAGCCAAGAAGGCCTGTTAGGGCATTTTGTTTTGATGGAGATACCTCAGTTAAATAACTTGGATATTCTAATCTGTATTTGTTTAACTATGAGGGTTTTCTAGGTGTATGTCTTCCAAATGATTTTTTTTTCAATAAAATAAAGAAAATAGTAATGGTCTAAGAGAAGAATCATTTCAAGAAGGGTTTCTTCTGTCACCCAGCACTACTCAATTTACCACTTTGCATTCTTAAGTTTTGTCTGAAATGAACACCTCTTCTTGCCCCTGGTGGTAGGTACTGCTTAAGAAAGAAAGGAGGAAAAAGAAAATCTCAAATCTCCTGTTTGCCTTCTCCTTTTCACTGGTTAGCATCTATTTTGGCCCATGTTGATCATTTTCTTAGCCTGTTTCACATAATTAAAACACCCCAATATTTCCAATCAAGCTAGACACTGACTGCTGCAGATACTTTTTTTTTCACTCAGTTTGCCTCTGTGTGCTGCTGTGTGATATGGACTTCACAGCATCTAAAAATGTACACATACAAGATCCATTAACTCTTTCTTACTCTTTAATTAAAGCGGGTGGTGCTTTCCACTGGAAACTTGACTTGCATTCTCATTGGAAATGCTGGTAGTTGATGGCTGGATAGGCCTACCTCCTTTCTCTAGCTATATTGAAGTTTTGATATATGTTTAATTAGTGTAACTGTGTGAGGAGGGTGGAGCATTATGATTGCTACGTCTACTCTTGAAATATTTATCCCCTCAAATCGTCTGACCAAAGATTTTGACAAAGTAATAGGCTGCATCTGGACTTTTTTWAATCTGTCTTCTAAAGAAGAAAGRATAGAGAAAGGTGTAAATGTTTTATATGTGTGCTGTTTTGTTTTTGTTGCCTTCTTGCTCACATCTCTGATGGGGAGAGCTTTGCTACCTGCTACCTACCTTGATAGAGCTTCCACATGCATTCTCGTTTCCTGCTGGGAAAGATCCCATGGGCTAGGGCTCTAGAAGGAAGAGGGGCCCAGGAGAGCTGGTTAGTTTTCAAGCGGCATTTCCT